GGGGGGTTATAGCTAATATTGGAGGGGTAGCACCCCCCTACACCCCCCCAGAAAATCCGTCTATGGATCTGCTTAAGATTTTTTTTTTTTACCATCCCTTGGGTATTTACGAAACCACGATCGCAGTTTTAGATCACCCCTGATGAAGACACTAGACTGGAGTGTCGAAACGTTGGGTCTTGATTACAATTCGACTGGGCTTTGTAATCATTTATTTAAACCAGAGTGGCGCGAGCGAAACATGATTAATTTAACTCACTGTAGTTTCAACCTTATCATAAAACATAATCAAGATTAATTATACTTAAAAAAATACTTTATACTGTTGACATATGTTTAGGATAGTTCAAAATAATCTACAAATCTGTTTGCCAAAAATTGACCTCATAATTGAAATCTTTATGCTCAAATTAGTCTATATCGCAAATATCACGTTGTTTGGATATTCAGGACGGGATTGATGGCGTTTGGGGAATCTTATTTTTCCATTAAATACAAATATTTGACTGGAATTTGCCACAGTGTTATAGGTATAAACCGGCAAAATGTTCAAAACGTTAACGACGTAAAACGATCACGCCCTGAATGTGCAAACATCGTGAAATTTCCCATCCATTCAGAGTAATTTGAGCATGAAGATTTTAATTCTGGGATTCATTTCTGCCAAATACATGAAGATGAAAAATCACCTATTAAAGAGGGCTAAAAACAGTCTTTTTGAGTGCAAATGGGGGAGGCGGTTGTCGGAAATTTGAAAGTTTTGTCGGAAATTTTGGAGGCTCCCCCCCCCACCGGAGAAAGTGAATTTCCACCACTGTGAAAAAATACTATAGAGGGTTATTCAAGAGGGATTTTTTAACTAATTTGATTTTTTAATTAATTTGGGAAGTTGATAAATCTCTTTCCAGCCAGTTTTTGGATTATTATTATTTATACTATTATTATTTATACTATTATACCTATTTCTACTAAAAATGTATAGAGTTTTCTAATAAAGTTTCAAACATGAATTAAAATGGTTCAGTTGCTTTTAAAAGAATAAATCTATTTCTGGCCTTTTTGATCTAAATATCACTAACCTGGCCGTTCAAATACCAACCGTGCTGTTATATTTTCAAATAATGGCAAAATTTTATGTCTTTTCAAATAGTGTTCAGCAACATCTTCCATTTTCTTCTCATCCATTCCTTCCATTGCGCTCATTTTCCTTTCGCTCCTGTTGTTGCTAGGCAACAGATTAATTGAGCTTGTCGATATTTTATTCCAGCGGTAAACAAAAACAATATGGCTGCTAAATTTGAAGAAATGTCAAATATCGAAGTGACATCTTTGTCATCTGTCTCTGGAGAGGGCGAGGAAAATGATATATCCAAAGGCTTTGAAGTAATTCCAGTTCAATTGCAAAACACCATCAGAATAATGAAATCTTTTCAGGTATCTGTATTAATGTGAAATATTTAAAGATTGAGTGAATACTATAAATAGTAAATTATAAAATAGCTTGAACATTAAATTCAAACGAATAAATAGTAACATGCAAATCAAAACTATTTAACGAAAATGTTCACACTACTTGGCGCTGGATACACTGATATATAAACGGGTCAACAATCAGACCTCTCAACTTTGCAGAGAAGTTAAGAGTGAGATTGGGGATGTGGATAACACCTTTGTAAAAGTCCGGGGGTCCATGGGCGTACCGGAAGGAAAAAATTAGGGGGGCGAAAAGAAATTTGCCCGACTTTTTGGGATTGTGTCTGACTAGTACCGAAAAAGTTTTTTCCAGAAAAATTATTTCGGCGACCTGCCATCGTAGTGGCAGTGCACGTATTTTTTCACTATATAGTCTGACCACTAGATCAGTGAGTCTGACAGTGAGTCATAAAAATGTTCTTAACCAAGTACTATATGTATGTGGCATTATCATGTGCACAATGGCCTCGGAGCTTTCAAGAGTCAATAGTATCCCAATAATTAGTTCCTACACAGTACAGTATAGACAGTATACTGTATTCTGAAAGAACCTTATCATATTAATTAACCTGACTCACTCTGTGTGCAATCTAGGCTCTTTGCTCACTGTTGGAAATTTTTCTTCAAATTCCATTTTCTTCGGTCCTCAAAAAAGTCTGGGGTGCAATTTCATGTATTAAACTACATGCATGCTGGTGCTACACCAAGGAAAACATGTGCTATATGCCGAGAATTGAGATATCCTCACATTTGAAAATGATGACATCCAATTTAAACCATGAAAGCCATACAATATTTGAAAAACGCCAGTAGAGGACATGCTAATTAAAGACAGAATGCCAATATGCCGCCATATTGACTATAAATGAAAATCTCATGCCCAGCTATGCATATAATTATATTCTGAAATACCCAGTACATGCCATTTTCGGTCATTTGGGGGAAGCTTTATGAAACAGGTTAAATGATAATTTTCACCGAAAAAATGTTATCGGTTTGATGATGTACTCATAGCAGCTAGTGCATTCTTGACCACTCTAACACTGTTTTTTACATCTTTATGTTTCTCCACTTTGCTCTCCATGGAGCCGATGCTATGATCTAGCTATGCTGACAACACTCAGCTCTACAGGGTGTATCAAAATAAACGCAATTCATCTTTTGTGCTTAATAACTTTCGAAATACTATTTCTAGTTAAAAGCTTTTGGGCTTACTTCAAAGCCTGTTCTTTTCTCTTTAAAACAAACTATTATCCTTGTCTCCAATGCTAGTAATAATTGCACAGGAAAAGATTTAGTAAAACCTAGCATTTTTAGTTGCTGTTTAATTATGCAAGTTTACTATGTTATTGTTTAGTCGGTTTAAATGTTAGAATTTTCTTCTTTAAACTTTAATGTTATCGTCACTACATCTGGAAAACCACGTAAGAACAAATTAAAAGTATTTTAAAAGAGACGAGGTTGTTTGAAAATCCTAAACGAATGCTAAAAATCGTCAAAACATTCTGGTGTCTGAGCCAGAGTGTCATCGAATTGCGATTAATGTAAACAGAAATTATAGCAAGTTGATGTCAGTCAGCTTAGATGGTCCAAGCCAAAATTATATCGCATTTGAAGTTTCAAACTGAGTTAAAAATAGTGGAAGAAAAGCCGTAATTATACTTATTGTTACAATCCATTTAATAAAATGCAACATTTTTTTGTTTTAATGAAAAAATCAGTTATTTTCATGAGAATGATTTGTTATTCCATCTCAATTTTTTTAATCTCCAATCGCAATAACGTAAAGTATTATTACCCGCGAACCAATGAGTCAAATTTAAGAAACAACCCACTGTTAGAAAGCTGAATGGCTACGCTTTAAAATGAATGTAAACTTTAACGTTTTCGTCTATTATTTGTTTAGCAATTTACATTTCAGTCGAGGATTGCGCTTTTTTTGATACACCCTGTATATCATCCTAAAGGAACCGAATACTGACATTGCCATTCAGCATCTTGAACATTCTCTGTCTGATGTTCTTGGTGCCTTCAAAACAAGCCGATTTTAAACAATGATAAAACTAAAGCTACTGTGTTTATCTGTATTCTATAATGCATTAGATCAACTCCACATACTCTCAGCATCTACAGTATATACTTATATTAGTTTAATTAATCAATATCAAAACTGAGGTCTTTGGTAGTTGGTGACCTTGGTAGTTGGTGCTATTAAGGATGAAAATCTCTCTGAAGAATCATATTGACTGCGGAGCTGGTTCATGCTTTTGGTACATGCTGTCTCCTGCCAGTCCCACAATGTGAGATCAAGAAACTCTAATGTGTACATCACTGCAGCTACAATAAAGACCAGCAGAAGAGACCATTATCACTAATGATATTACTCCCGTTTTAAAAAAGCTCCACTTTTAGTTACTGCTCCTAACCCTCCAGTAACTACAGGTATCACATGTATTTTTTTTTTAAAGTTCCAAATCTGTTTTATTTCCCTTCTAAAATCTTGATGTCTTTGAACCGGGTATTTTCCTCTTCTTTTCTTCAACTCTACTATCTGCTGTGATAGCAATGTCAAATATATTTTCAATCCTTTTTCTCTTTTCCACAACCACTAAATCAGGTTTCCTATGCACAATGTGATGATCGCATTGAATCACTTGTCTCTACAACTCCTTTCAGATCATTGTCATACCAATTCTTCTCCATTCTACTACGTTCTCCCCACATCGTTTCCAGGGGACAATTCTTGCCAAAGATTGTCGTATCTTTCTTTGTAATCTGTTTGTGCAAGATTTGCACCCACTTATGGCTCACACTCTCTCCTCTTTTTCCACATACAGTATCAACACAGGGATAACGCTGTTGTCCTGTCAATGTGACACTTCAAGTAAGTCGTTCCCAATGCTTGCTCTTTGGCATTAAGGCCTCTGTTCCAACTTTAAGATCATTTTTTCAAATCCATCTCCATGTTTATTTATTAACTTTACAATCATACAAAATTATAACAATGATTTAAGGTATGGTCAAAGGACATGAGTTCCATGTGAAGACAAACCTGAATGTTGTTCTACAGTAGGTCAGTTTTATTATCAGATGTTGTTCTCTTCCACTTGAGCACAGTATTCGCAACTTATCGTAACGGTTTTAAGATTGAAATTTCAGCACAGAATTGTTTAATATAATTTTTTTTCAATCTCCTTTTCCATCTTCTGGTATCTCCTTTCTTTTTATTCGTAGTTTCTCAGCTACATACATACTAATCACTTTGATTAGCTTCTTGGTCTCTGTAATGCTGCTGGTTTTAACACTTCATTCACTCTCCTTATTTCTTCCGCTGATCTCTTTTTTATCTGCTTTCTTAATTTTGCTCTTCCTCAGGTTGCCTCATCATTGCCAACAGTGATCTTATTATTTCTTGTTCTTCCTCTGTCGCTTCCTCCAGACTCTCCATTTGTAATTCCATGTCTGGATCTTCTTGTTCATCAGATCAAAGTACAAGATCAGATACAGTTCCTCTGCTCCATTTGACCCCCCAATTTCCCACTAGTCTTCTTCTGGTTCTTCTTCATCGTAGTCACTTTGCAGAACACGTCTTTTGATATTTTCCAACAGCTTTGTCAGCCATGCACTCATTCTTTCTGATCACCCTAGCTTGGCTTTGTAAACAAGCTTCGTTAGTACCTTCCACTAGCTATTCATTTGTCTTCTGTAACCACGGATTGGTTTCCACTCTCTGCTAGGATAATAATACTCCATCACAATTACATTTGTTGTTTTCGTTCATTTTCGCTTTAGCTCCGGACTAGATCTACGATATCTATTGTAACATGTTCTCGATCATAATTTTCATTGAAGGAATTCTCTCGAAAACGGTTATTTCCACTACTATTGTGCGCGTGCATTATGGAGTATTTTTCCTGCCGACCGTAGGGAGGCAGCACACTATTCTTGATGCTTAGGTTTACTATGCCTATGCATTAGTGCCAGTCCCTTTGCCCCGAGGGGAGGGCAAACCCCCAGACAAAGTAGTAACACATAATATATATTTTTTAATCAAATATGGTTGAATCATATTCACCAGGGTAAAACATCATGAGCTACA